CCAGGCAACTGACGCATTTTGATGGAAATTCGATTTTATATTGGTTGAAATTAACGAAAAAAGGAAAGCCGGATTACTGAAAATGTAAAAGTAGGTCATTGTTTTAGGTCAATAGCAAATAGGACCTCTAAAGACAGTCCTACTGTTCCGCATTTATCTCTGATGCCAGTAAGAGGTTGAAAGCTGAGATAAATAAAGACATGGCTCCAGCTAATCGAACAGGCTTCTTCTTCCCAACTTAGATATAATAGTTACAAAGAAAGTGCCAGCATCTCCAGAGGAAAGAAGGTGAATACTAGAAACCACCGCGGTAGTGAGATCCCATGTCTAAACCGAAATACCAGGGCCTAAATCAGGAGTCTCAGAGCTCGAAACAGCCACTATCTCGTCATTAAATAAACAACGGCTTTTATTCGACGTTAGGACACGGGCCTTGGAAAATGGCCTTGCGATAAAATCCCGAGGGAAGGGCTGGGGTCTGATTTAGGGTTAGTGGCAAGAAAGGCATCGTTAGGGCCAGGGTTAATTTTGGAGTTGAAGTTAGGAGACGGATGTTAGCGCAAGGTCCCCACCACTTCACTACCAGGGGAATGCTTATTCAGGTGTCCAGTTCATGCATTAATAAAAGTGGAGAATGTCGCTGTAGGGAAATTTCCCAGCATCGAAGACAGCAGGCCGCAGCCGAAGAACTCTAGCTCACCTCGTGCAGATAACTTGCTCATGCAGACTGCCCTGACAGCGTTGACATTCCGTCCAGAGACGCGCAAACCGTGCTTCCAGAGAGTTCAACTCACTGACTTCCTTCTGGTAGATTTCAGATGCCCGAGATTCACAGTAAGCGCACAGAGCTCCGTCTAAAGGGGTCACACGGCAAGGAAGAAAAAATAATAGTAAACTCGACAAATGACGCGATTTTGGAGCATAGAGCAGGTGAAATGACATACCTTCACGGTCCTTAGGCAGCAGTGACCGACAGCCGATACAAGCCGGGCGTTTCTGCGTGAACGCCGACAACTGACCGACCTTGGAGTGGATAACGGACTTCACCAGTGTGTGTTCACCAGCTAAAAGACAAGGAAGGATTGCGCGGAATGGTCACTTTCTGGTAACAGGAATTTCTTAAAGGATCGCAAAATTCCCCAAACTTTTAAAATAACCCCTTTGATTCAAAGATACAAATTTTGAGGTAGCCGCAAAGGTCGTGATACCCAACGAGTTATTTAAAATGAAGTCATCAAGTTGAATAATATAATAAAATGGCATAAAGAAAAGAATGAAAGGAAAGCACGTTGCCCTAGAGCAGAGGTCGGGAACCCTTTTGACTCAGAGAGCCAAGAAAACAAATATTTGGGAATATATTTCAGTGAGAGCCATATTAAATTAATTCCGCTATCCGTCTCGGCGGTGGCACCTCATTAGAGGAACCAAAATAACAAAGTCTGAAGTCTCTAATTCCAATTTGGGCAAAAGTAGCTTATGTATTCCCACTCATATACCCCTAGTGTCAGCATTTTTTCTTACAGAAACGGTGGTTATAGGGGTTTTGGGAGTGGGAAAATAGGATAAGCAGAAAAGGAAATTTTTAGAAGTGTTAAGTGTAAAAATGCAGTTGAATTTGTTTCCCGTGGCCACTGGAAGCAAGTTGTTCCGCATGTAAATTGAACGTGTGCCCGGCG